ATTCTATTCTATTCTATTCCTTATTCTATTGTATTCCTTATTCTATTCTATTCCTCATTCTATTCTATTCCTTATTCTATTCCATTCCATTCTATCCTATCCTGTCCTATCTTATTCTCGAATTGGCCATTTTAGCCACCCTGGATGCTGTTTTAGGACCTCTTTTCAGAGCATGACACCACAGTCTCTCGAAACTGAAGGATGCCAATGTGACTATATAACTTCCCAATGGTCCTTAAACAAATTGTTGTTAACTTGAAGGCTACCTGTATGCAGGACGCCTTTACCTGGATGGGGAATATCCCAGGCACCACGGGGCAGCTGATGCCGATGGCCTGGCAGTCCATTAGAAATTTGAGGAAGGTTTCCGTCCGGAAAAATAGCTGCGTAATGACAAAATCGGCTCCTGCGGACACTTTTTCCTTGAGGTGTTTCAAGTCATCGATGTAGCTGTTGGCCTCGGGATGCCCCCCAGGGTAACCTTCCAAATAAAAGAGAGACAAACGGTGAGCTTCGGCCTGATTTCACCTTTGTTCTTATCAAAATATCCTCCACATAGGGCAGGATATGCAGCAGTGCTAACCCAAAGTAAAGATAATTAGAAATAAAAAAACCAACACAAACCACACTGAAGTAATTAACATGGCAGGCCAGGGTGATAAATTGCAGGCTTTCACCCACAGTTGGGAGGATGCCAAAATCCAGATAAGCCTTGACCAAGATAATACATGCTTTGCTTCCAGCAAGGAGCTTTGTTCAAACGCCCCACTTATATCCTGTTCTCCCAGCTGCAACTAATGAAAGGGATCAGGGCCTTTTCCTCTCCCATAAGCCACGTTGCTCCCTTCTCTGTTCCTCCCTAGGTGCCCTAGGATGAAGAGGGGGTGGGCCTGGGTCTTCCTCTGAATGCCCAGCCGGCCTGTGCCCTTCCCCCGTTTCTTCCACAGCCATGGGAGCCACACTCCCACTCCCTGTCAGCTGCTCAATTTCCCCCTCAGAATCGGACTCCAACAAGGGCATGACACACTTATCTTTTCTAGGCCAAGGTCAACCGTCTTGGCATTCCAGATGTCTGAGACGCCACCTGAAGATGTAACCCACATGACATTATGCACACACCTCGGATTGGATGTCCAGTTTGAATTGTTGGGGGTAACTTTCTATATGTGATTTCCACACCTTTTGCCTCAGATCTTGCATTTCTCCTGTTGCTACCACTTCACATTCTGTAAAAGTCCTTTTCTCTATAAAAATTGAGTCTTAGTTTTTCTTTCCTGGATTTTGAATGGAGCCACACCTGACACCAGGGCTGCCATAGAAGGTAAGCTATAGTGCTTGAAATTGTTGTATTTGGAGCGCTGAAGCACACTCTCGTAGAACCGGTAGTAAAAAATGGTTGAATCCCACCACTGTCTTAAAGCCTCCTCTTTTTCCCCGGGTCATCCAGGACCCAGGAAAAATCCAGAAGAAGGGAGGTTTCTGAATTAAACCTCAAAATGTGGGTGAAATGCACGAATCTCTCTCTAGAAACTTGCATGCTGAGTGGCCGGGCCGTCTGATTTTCTTAGAGAGTTTTATTAGAGAGACACAGATGGAGTGTCAAGCCCGAAATTGACATACACATAAATCGTTTTATTTAGCCTTATTATATATTCCTTTTCTTTTTTCTCTTTGCTGGTTATGGGGGTGGGGGGGTTATTTCGGGCTTGCCACATTCCTAAGGTCGGAGGAGTGGAGATAATGAGAGTTGTTTAGACTAAGTGGTTCTCCTTCCCGTGGGAAAAAAAGCTGACCCTGCTGAGACCTGGAGGTGGAGACTGATGACACCAGGCAAGGTTGATTTACTTCTATTGGGGAATGTGACTTTTGGGAGCTGTTTCTGATTTCCAATATTATGTGCTGTAATTCCGGGTTGTGTCAGATCCAGAATTACAACAGACGTTGCCAATTTGATGCTTTCCTAAATAAAAGGAATTGTTTTGGAAGATGGACTTTGCTCTTTTCTTTTTAAATGGATTTCGTCACTTGGAAACCTGACACGGAGTCTCAGTGTGTATCACCGGACAGGTAACAAAAGATACATTTTAATGGCCATAAAAGTGGCAAGGAGGAAGTGAAACTTGAGAAGTGGAGAAACCTGAATTTGTTGTTTGTTAGTCACAAAGTCAGCTGGGTGAACTTAGTCCAGCTTCTCTCCCTCAAACCCAAGAAAACCATGGCCAACAAGTTATGAGAACTTTGCCCCCCAAATGGCAGAGACTGGACTAGGCCACTGCCAGGTGTCCAAAATGACCTGAAGAAGCACCACTGCTGGTCGGAAAAGATGGATGGACCCTTGAGGAATGTCTTGAGAAGATCAGGAGAACTTTGTATGAAGCTCAACTACTCACCGGCCACACAGAGGTCAAAATAATCGTCAAACTCCTGACGGATGTGCTTCACCAGATCCACTGCATGGTTGAAGCCGTCCAGTTCTTCTTCCCATTCTTCCCCGACAGGATCTGTGGGAGAAGGAGACCCCACATTCTTCAGAAAACACGGTTCTTCCTTCCCATGGAAGGAGAGACCATCTTTGTAGCCGTTTGTGATGACCCGGGGCATGGCACAAAAGCAACAAAGTCACAAAAGTAGGTGAAGTCCCTTTAATACTTCCAATGTCCAGTTATCATCGGCTGGAGAAAAAACTCTCCCAAGAACAGTCTTTAAAGGGAAGAAATTCAGTCCGAACCCAAAGTACATATAGATTATAAATAAAAACCAACAGAAACCACAAGCTGCAGCAATTAACTAGACAGGGAAGGATAAGGAATTGCAGACTTCCAAAAGATAATGAAACACATACAGTTGGGAGGACGCCAGAACCCAGATAAGACTTGACAAACAAAGATAATGCACGCTTTGCTTCCAGCAAGATGCTGTGCGCAAACACCCTCTTTAAATCCTGTTTTCCCAGCTGCAGTTAATGAAGGGAATCAGGGCCTTTTTCTCCCCTGTAACCCACGTTGCTCCCTTATCCATTCCTCCCTGTGTGCCCTAGGATGAAGAGGGGGTTGACCTGGGTCTTCCTCTGAATGCCCAGCTGGACTGTGCCCTTCCCCAGTTTCCTCCACAGCCACCGGAGCCACACTCCCACTCCCTATCAGTTGCTTGACCTCCCCCTCGGAATCAGATTCCAACAGGGGCATGACACCGTTCCTCACCTCCTCGCAGCGCCATAATGTTCTTCAGCCCCAAACGTTTGGCCTTCTGCAGGTGGGCAGTGATGGTTTCCCTGCTCTGGTTGCAACAGGTCATGTGGAGAATGGTCTCTAGCCCGCAGTAGTTGAGGGCAGTGGTGGCCATCATCATGGACGAGGTCTCCTTATCAGAGCCCGGATCGCCAGCCGGATGCCAAGTGACGTCGATGAAAAGGGGGCCGCCTGCCCCCATGCGGTCGAACCTGCAAGAAACAAAAGAAATTGGTTATCTTCAGCTGGTAGGTGTCTATGGAGTTTCTCAAGTCCTCCTGGTCATGGTTGTCCCAAAGGTGCTTTTCCCCCCCCAAGAGGCAACTGGACTTTCTGGTTTTTTTCTTTGAAGGTGCTTCATTTCTCATCCCAGAAGCTTCTTCATCTCTGTTGTGGTTCACCGGCAACAGGTGCGGATGGCTGAGGTCTCGGAGAGCGAGGACTCAGATGAGGGGCCTGCGTGTGAGGCAGGGGTGGGACCAGGACCATCAGGGAGTGGAAGGCTGCCTTCGGAGATTGTGGAGGCTGGCAGCAGTGAGGAAGAGGCCCCCGAGGAGCCTGTGCCCAGTGCATGTGCCCGCAGAAAGGAAAGAGCAGCTGCAGCAGCACTGGCGACTTGGGAGTAAGGCTGCAAGGTGATGGCCCCTCCCCCTTAAGAGATAAAAGCCAGCTGAGAAACCGGAGTTCTTTGCAGGAAGCAAATAAGTTTTTGCACTCAAGCCTTGTGGACGTACATACTCTCTTAGTTTGTGTTTGGAGACTCTTTGTGTTTGAAATATTTCTTAGTAACTTTATCTAATATTCTTGGCAGCCTTGTACAACCTTGGCAAGGCTCCTTCTTACCAGAGACAATTAGTTTGAAACCGCCTTTTAACCGGGAAGGAACGGGAATTCATAAAGAATCATTAAAAGGTTTTGCTGTTACCTCTGCTTCGTGTTTGTTTCCTCGGAACAAGATTTGGGTCAGAACAAGCTCTGACTGGATGGTGGTGGGAAGGGAAGGACTGATCCTCCTTGCAGACAGCTGGTCATTTGGGGAAACAAAACAGCTACTTCATAAACGCACAACACAGGAGAACAAACCCATCAGGACTTCTATTCAGCAGTCCATTTGCATTTGAAAGACAAAAGCCGCTCTTTTGAAGCCAGCAAAGCCCACATGTTGGGGCAGAGAGGACCGCTGGTTTGAAAGAGGGGCTCAAAGAGGCCACCTATGTCCTAATTGAACAGCCCTCCCTCAACAGAGGGGGAGGGATATGACACCACCTCTCTCCAGTCTACAACACAGTTCCAAGAAAGCTTCACACCCGTTTGCACCACTCAGGTGACCCTGAGGACACAGATAAACCTCCAAGTGGCCTCAACGACTCTCTAAAAAGGATGCAAATGACCAGCTGTCTGCAAGGAGTATCAATCCTTCCCTTCCCCACCACCATCCAGTCAGAGCTGAAGAAGCTTCTGGGATGAGAAACAAAACATCTTCAAAGGAAAACCAGAATGTCCAGTGGCCTCTTGCGGAAAAAAACAACACACAACCCTTTGGAACTTCAGCTGGTAGGTCGTCAGAAACCAACCCAAAACATGTTCTGAAGAAAGAGCAAGAAGAATTAGAGAGGCACCCAGGTTAAATTGGAGTCAGATGGTTCATCAAATTCATTAAGGCAGATCATTAATGGCAATAGCACTTAAGACTTATATACCACTTTATAGTGCTTTTCAGTCCTCTTTAAGAAGTTTTACAGAGTTCAGCCTCTTGCCCCCAACAATCTGCGTCCTCATTTTACTGACTTTGAAAGGGTGGAAGGCTGAGTCGACCTTGAGCCGGTCAAGATCGAACTGATAGCAGTGGGCAGGGTTAGCCTGCAATGCTGCATTCTAACCACTGGGAAGGAAGGAAGGAAGGAAGGAAGGAAGGAAGGAAGGAAGGAAGGAAGGAAGGAAGGAAGGAAGGAAGGAAGATCACTTAAGATTTATATGCCACTTTACAGTGCTTCACAGCCCTCTCTAAGCAGTTTACAGAGTCAGCCTCTTGCCCCCAACAATCTGGGTCCTCATTTTATCGACCTCGGAAGGAGGGAAGGCTGAGTCAACCTTGAGCCTGGTGGGATTCGAACTGCCAAATTGCTGGCAGCTGGCAGTCAGCAGAAGTAGCCTGCAGTACTGCACTCTAACCACTGTGCCACCACGGCCCTTATTAATCAACTCGGAGCCTCCGTGAGCTGCTTCTTCACCTGGAGATGAGATTCACGGCTCCGTTGGCTGTCCGGGGAGGGAAGAATTCCAGGGAAAACCACTTGTCACCGGATTCCTGACGGCGACGCATTTTTTCCCGCAGGCGCTCATGACGCTCTGTGTCCAGGATGGGGGTGGAGCAGCGGGAGCTGTTTTGGGAACTCTCCCCACTGCTGCTGCTGTTGCCGCCATCAGAGCGGGTGCCAAGGCCGTTGCTCATCGGAAGAATCTCGTTGACCATGGTGAAGGCCCTGGAGAAATGGGAAGAATGCCAGAAGGTTCCAGGTGAGGTGTGATGACTCAAAAGGGTGTGGCACAAAGGCAACACAGTCAGATAATCAATAAGAGTCCCTTTATTAGCTCCAACTTTGCCCCCAATGTCCAGGTTACCTTCTGGCTGGAGAAAAACTCTATCAGGAACAACCTTTGGCTGCAGAGAATAAAGTCCAAAATGTGGTCAACAAAAACTAACTAAAAGTCCAATCAAGGCAAAATGAGGTAATTAGTTCGGCAGGGCAGGAGCAAGAATTCCAGATATGAAGGCACGGCAATAACTCAGTACGGTTGGGAAGATGCCAGGAACACAGATAACCACAGTCAACATAAGATAAACTCATGTTTGTTCCCAGAAAACTCCGCACTCAGCATGCATCTCTTTCATACTCTCTTCCCAGGCAAAAACTAACTAAAAGTCCAATGAGGTAATTAGTTCGGCAGGGCAGAAGCAAGAATTCCAGATATGAAGGCACGGCAGTACGGTTGGGAAGATGCCAGGAACACATATAACCACAGTCAACACAAGATAAACTCATGTTTGTTCCCAGAAAACTCCGCACTCAGCATGCATCTCTTTCATACTCTCTTCCCAGGTGTGCCTAATGAAGGGAATCAGGGCCCTTTCCTTCCCTGTAAGCCATGCAATGCACGTTGCTCCCTTCTCCATTCCTCCCTGAGTGCCCTACTGAGTGCCCTACTGAAGCAGTAGGAAAATTTACACATAAAGCACTTTTATATTTAGCAGAAGTCCCCCAATTCCCCAAAGCTTTGCTTAATACAAGGGTACCACCAGAAGAGGAAGTCAAGGGAAGAGATACAGATTTTGGGGGGGGGGGGGGGGGGAGAAAGTTTGTGTTCTGAGAGTAAAGATTTGAGATGCTCTCTTTATGTCCATAAACAGTGAATACACATATTTCTCAAGAAAAATACTCTACTCCTCCACTCACAATAGAACTCCCCGTGCCCATGAGGTGGCATGCAGAGCCCTCTTAGCAGGCACGCACACCATCGCCAGATGCTCTTCTGGTTTCTGGTGCTGGTCTCCAAAAACAGGGTGTTTTTTGGGCCGCTTTCAGGCCATTTTTTGGCCATTTTCCGGCGTTTTTGGCCTGAAGACGGCCCAGGATACAGACTGAAAAACAGCCTGAAAATGGCCAAAAACGATGCCCAAAACAGGCAAAAACCAGGCATGCACGCACCGGACAGCTGGTCTTCGGTTTTCTGGTGCTCCAGCAAGCACACATGCACATTCATGCCCAAACATGGTTTGGGCACTCGGTTTCTAAAATGTTCGCCATCCCTGCCCTCTGCCTCCAGGCTGGAAATTTTGGGTCTGGACAATCTGGAACCGCGGCGCCTGCAGTCCGATCTAAGCATAGTACACAAAATTATCTGCAACAACATCTTGCCTGTCAATGATTTCTTCAAGCTTCAATCACAATAATACACAGGTAAACAACCGATATAAACTCAAGGGAAACCGCTCCAAACTCGATTGCAGAAAATACAACTTCAGCAACAGAGCGGTCAACGCCTGGAACACTCTACCTGACTCCCTTGTCAGAGCCTCAACCCCTCACAGCTTCAACCTCAAACTGTCTCCCGTGGACCTCACCCCATTCCTAAGAGGTCCTTAAAGGGGACGCGCAGAAGCGCACCAGCGTGTCTACCGTCCCTGGTCTTACTGACCCCCATTTGTCTATATTTACTCCCTTTGTCCCTGTTTATGTTCCTACGTACACTTCTTATCTTGTACATGTTTGAC